TGTGTGTGTGTGTGTGTGTGTGTGTGTGTGATGTGGGGAAGTACCTGGGGGTTTTTTTCTTGCACAGGCAAATTCAGACTCTAGATTCCTGCTCACGATTCTTTGACGTCACCACCCAATAGAATTCATTGTAAGTTTCACTTGTTATTGGTACAAAATAAATTGAACTTTAACTGTTTTTTGTGTCAGAAAATGTTTCAGGTTGTTTCAGTTCATTCTGAGAATAAAGAAAAACTTTACTAAACTCTAAAAAGCTTTTACTGAAAACAGTTTAGTTGTAACTTTCAGCTTTTCCTTTTGTTTCATCTTATATAAAGCTTCTCCCCAACAAACCATCCTACTTTGGCAAAACGTCCTACCGTAAGTAGTTTATGCACATTTCTGCTGTCACAGAGTAATTCCACCACAAAAGTAAGTAGGTATGATGGTTTGCCACTTAACTTTACCCATCAGAGTACGCTTGTAGCTCATATTCATGAAGCCAGGATGGTTTGGCACTTACTTTTGTGTCGTGCACATGCGCAGAAACAACGGGTAGGATGGATTCCCAGAACACCGTATCCTAAAATTTAAAAAATATATTATTTGAATAGTATTGTGTCTTTGTTTGGTTTAAGAAATTAGAAGATGTCAAGAGATTCATTCTAAAAGACACTTCTTCAGCTGAGAGTCTGAAAGGTAGAAACACACTGTAGTTTTTACTTGCAAGGGCGGTCACAGAGCGCTCACACGAGAGTGGGGGCCCTGTGATGTGCGCGCTCTGTTCTTGCACTTGTCTTTATTTATACACAAGAAAAGTAATACAACAGTCAATACGTCTATTCATAGACAGAGGAATGTTAGTGCGTATGCAAGTGTATGTGTGTGTGTGTGTGTGTGTGTGATTCTGAAGGATGCAGCCCCTCTTCTTGTTAGGGAGCGCAGATAAAAGTGTCCAGCTCTCCTCTTCCTGGTAGGAGTGAAACTGCTTGTTTAGCTATTATCGCTGTGGGAAAGAATTTATAAAACAGAAACAAGTCTTGTAGTGGTCATCATGCAGTATTCTATCACATGTAAACTTATATCATTAAAAGCTTATACTGACTACTAAGTACAATTTTCCATCGACAGAAGACAACCAGTCAAAAAGCCACTGCTCTTAGTCCAGCCTCTAAACTGCTGTCATTATAATTTTATTTTATTGGTTGTTTTGAAGTTTCATTATATGGAAGCTCCTTTTCCATTAAGTCAACATGTATCCCTCCTATACAAAAAGTTTCAAGAGAAGGATGGTGGAGCTTCTCTGTATCCAGACAGAAGAATGGAGTATCTAAAACACTCTGAAACCTGCACTTTTAACCCTCGCAGATTACTTATAACAAGTATGACTGAAAATAAGGAAAAGAAAGAAATGTTTTTTTTAAATGTTTTAATTTCCAAATTTATTTTGAACAGGTGCAGTGAAACAAAGAAAAAGTAAAAATTTCCAAGCACAGTAAATCAAATGTTCACACATATCATCTTGTCAATTCAAAGAAGAAACAACAACAACAAAAAAAACCCCCACAAAACTGCAAACATGCTTCACAACAAACAGCAGTTCTGATTTACACTCTACAGATAAGGTTTGATAACATAATATTTCATTATATGTGAGCTGTGGAGGGGTGGTGCTTTTTAGAGGCAACTCGCGACAACTGTTGCTTCAGGACAATTTATATTGTAAGGTGAAGACCTTGCAATAACACAGAGAAAACCCCAACAATCACATGACAACCAATGAGCAAGGTTGTAGTTTTTTTGTTGTTACTTTTTTAATGTCAACTCTTTCATTTTTTCATTTAGGTCTTCTGTTTTTGGATCTTCTTGCTTTACGTTACTTTTGAGTTTTTCTCCGAACCATGTGGGAAATTCACCCCTTTTCTCATTTGAAACATGTATCACACATTCTCCATTGCTGTGTAACATTATGGTGCTTTTGTCTGTGTCATATTTGTAAGTGACTATTTTCTCAGTTTCATCACCAAACTCCTCTTTTATCCAGGTTCTCCATTTTTCTGGATCTTTAGTATAAAATTGGTATTTGTCGTCTTTCAATGCTCTTTGATTTACAAACAGCTGTTCGGGTCTGCGCGCTCTTGCTTCTTTTCTGAATTTCTTTTTTTCATACTCTGTTGCTCTTTCATTGGGATAGACATATTGTTGAGGAGTTATCTAAAAGAAAAGATAAAATTTGCATGAGCACATTTATTTTATGCCATATCCTTAGAAATCTTGTATTCAGTGCTCACAGTTCCACTGGTGTTTCCTGTGTTTTCTGCCATTTCTTTGAATCAGTTAACTTGGTTTGAAGAAGAGTCGACTGATCCCACAGCGGCTTCCTGAGTGCAAAGACAAACCTTGATCATTTGTACCAGATGTCATATGTTCTGTTATTCAATTTAAGCTGCATGCAAGTCATAAAAAACATTGCCAAAACAAACAAACAAAACATGAATGAATAACAGTAAATTACCTGAACTTGCACATCCTGGTGTCTTAAAGTCTAAATAAATCTGTTTCCAATTAAAAGTGTGCTGGTTGAAAAGCTAGTATTAATAATTTGTCTTGCAACCCTGTTTACCTTTTCCCTCATAATGATGCCCGTGGTTACACATTTACTGTTTTCAGGTGTTCCCACGGTAAACTTTCAAATTCTGTTTTTTTTTTATCCTCTATTATTTTCAGGTTATGGTGTCATTAGAGTGTTTCTGACTGTAAAATAAACAAACAGTGAGTTAAAGACATATAAAAGGATCTGTTACTTACGCAGTGTAGTGCTTCAGGCAGAGTCTGTGATTTTGCCGTTTCTCGAGCGTAGTCCAAGAGAAATGACCTGATGACGGCTTCTTTTCCCCTTTTATATTTTCTCCCTTTTTATTTATTTATTTAATTTTTACAAACAGCCAATCATAGAACAGAATCAGTGTTCACCATGGACTGCAAATAAATACAAATAAATGTGTTTCTGTAAAACAAGTTAATCTTCCCCTTCATACAGTTTAACCAGACACACACATTAAAGTTTATTGAGTGTTTTTTGCCTGCTAGCTGTAGTATGTTTAATACTAGAGGAGGTTGCCATGGTGAAGTGGGAAGCGTTTTCTTCATATTACATTCAGATGTTTGCGCCGTACAGGGTGTAAGATGACCCGAGGGATGGACTAAAGAGCCAAAAAGGAAGTTTAAACTACCATCCTCAACTGTTTGGACCAATCATGTTAGCATTCTGTTTTTATGACACATCAAAGTATTTACTGCCGGGATGTGGTGCTCTTTTCTTCGTTTGGGTCTCCTGAGCAAAAGAAGAGACATGGAGTCGTTTTGAATCAATAAAAGCAATCAGGCAGTGTGAGCACTGCTGCTAGATAGACTTCTTCTGCTGTAGTTTAGTACTTAAAACCCTTTGTACATCGTGCCTCATCTACCCTGATTTACATAATCACTTTTTTTCTATGCATAAGCGTTTTCTATCTAAAATTCACACACATTCTCTCTACAATATATCAGAGAGCAACTTGGAGTTCATTGTTTGCCCATGGTGTTCATTAGGTGCACACTCACTGTTAGGTTCTATTCAATGATGTGAATAAGGGTGGCATGTTGGTGCAGTGCTTCGCAGTGTCACTTCACAGGAATGTGGAATTAGGTGAATGTGGCTGTAGCATAAAATGCTTTGGATGGTTACCAAGATGAGAAAAGCTCTACACAAGAGTCAGTTCATGCATTTAACACTTCTAGGGCTGGGCTTATGTATTCCATCATTATAAAGATGTCCTAAAAACTCCATAAAAATCTTTATTTGATCCAAAGGTTCTGATAAGGACTAAAAAAAGAGCATACTTTGCCCATACTGGCTTCATTGTCCCTGTTAAATACAGAATTGGATTTAAAATCCTTCTTGTCACATACAAGGTCTTGAATAATTATGCCCCATCTTATTTTAAAGACTTCATAGCACTGTATCATCCCACTTCACTCAGACTGTGTTTTTTGTTCCTATAGTATTTAAAAGTAAAATGGGAGGCAGGGCAACTCTTGGAGCAGAGCAGCTTCTAGTTTGGATCAGGTGGCTCCAAATCCTCACTCAGGTGGCCCAGGGGCTTCCCATGATGCACTGTGTGTTTCTTCTTCACTCACCTTTACACATTTCTCTTCCACAGCATGTTTTTATCCTGTCTTCCTCCTCTAACCTCAACCAGCAGCAGATGGGAGTCTCTCTCTCTCAGCCTGATTCTACTAGAAGTTTCTTTCTTTTAAAAGGGAGTTTTTCTTTTCTTCGATTCCGCTTCCTGAAGAGCAGTTGTCTAAGCATTTCACTGCATATCGTACTGCGTATGACTGTGTATGTGACAAATAAAATTTGAATTTGATTTGATTTTCTACTGTTGCCAAACCGTTGCTCATAGCAGATCATCCGACTGTTGGGCTTTTTCTGTTTTGTCTGTTTAACTGAAGGATCCTGGCAAATATAAAGCGCCTTGAGGCAGCTGTTATTATGAGTCAGCGCTATGTAAATAAAATTGAATTGAACAGAAAAATTCCCATGGCCTCGACTGCAAGATCAAAATTAATAGAACTTTTTAAATTCTTCAATCAAATTCTTGACACCGTAGCTGGATTTCAACAAAACCTTTTTAATTTCATTGGTACTGTTTATAAAATCAGCGAGTCTGCTTTGATGCCAACTTAAACGTGGTGTGTGAACCGTGTTTGTGTATTTGTGGAGGGATTCGTGGTTGTGTGTGTGTTTTTAGTGTGTACTGTGATGTACACGTGTGTGTGTGGGAATGTGAAATTGCTTGATAAGGCAACATGCAGTCATCAGTTTCCATTGGCCTCAAAGTAAGAACACGCAAACCAGGTCCAGAAACAAACACACACACACACATTTTGCTGGCTGAATCCGTTCTGTGTTAGCACACACACACACGTCCACTCTCACATACAGTACATGTAGACACACAGTTTTTCAGGGCAAGCAAGCTGTGAAAGGTGTCATAACACTGAGTGACAGCAGAAAGAAACGATCTGATTGGTTGAGACAGTTGAGGGGCGGGAGCTTCACAACAGCCAGCTTTAGATTGTGTGAAATAAAAACCATCCTAAAAGCTACTACATATCCCAGAATTCAAGCTGTGCACAGAACTACACATAAAGCTGGTCTAATTTTTAAACCCAAACCTTGATTATGCTCTTTTAAAGATGAATGAATAAGAATAACAATATTTTCAACTGCAATCCAAACAACTGACAAATGTCCCATCTGCTTGTTTCTCTCGATGGTTTGCCAAACAGTGTTACAGAGACTAAAAAGCAGCTACACAATAGCAGAAAGTGATCTTATTTTCTCCTTGAATAGTTATTTTGAACATTTTTCACACTATCCAGCGCAGATTCCTTTCTGAGAATTACCCTTGAAGAAGTTATGTGTCAGGCTTTTGTGATGTCTTCCAACTCGGGACTACCTGGAGGAAGTTTCTTTTAATTTGGCACAATCATTCACTTTAAGTCAAGCAAGAACTGCAGCTCATTTAAGAGTCAAAGGTAAAATTCACAATCACCATGCAAAACTTGTTTCTGGCTTTAACTAAATAACTAATTTAATAACTACTAATTAAATAATGTCTATCAAAGTTTTACACAAATGTGAAGCAGAATTAAATAATGAAGGTGTGATACTTGACAAAAGCTCTTTTTTAGTTGTAGTGAAACACTATAAGTGAGGGATAAATATAACCGCAAGGTTCCAATTTTTTCTCTGTATGTAGCTTTATTTTGAAGTTGCTGAATTTTCTGCAGATCAATCAATTTTAAATACAGTTATGTGTTTCTGAAACAAAGCTAAGTCAGGTTCTTTAGTGCTAAAAGTTGTTCACATATGAACTCATTGTTACAATGGATGTTGCTGAGCGCTGAACTGCTTTGGAAAAAGGACATTCTCGAATTTTAAACTAAAATTATTATTATTACTTTTATTTTTGCGGGGAAACTTCCCTCTCAGTCAAATCTGATTAAACCTAAATCCTTAACTAAGTAGTTTAAAGTAATAAGAGCTTTCTTCTCATTAAATCTGCTTTCTCACACCTCAAATATTTAAATGTTATAGGAGTTTCTTTTAAAATGTTGCCTTTGCTTTCTCATGCATCACATGAACACATTTCAAGCTGCTGCTCTGACAGATGAATATTGTCTATTGCTTCCACTGTATTAACCCTAAACACTGAGTAGAAACACACACTAAGCCATTCAAAGCAACACAGAACAGCTGCTACTCTAGATTTAACACGTCACGAGTCATTCTACACATCTGTTCATGCAGTCTACTCTAACTACTTCACATGTAACTTCAACATCATCAAAGCACATTTCCCTGCACAAGCCTCTGGAGATTTGCTCTATACAGCAGCAGCTACACATGCACACACATACACAAGCTAACACTGGTACACAGACGCACTGACTGCAGCTCATCCACCCTCTCATGTCTTGCCTCATTCGCACACTGTGTTATTGTTCACACCCAGAATCGTATTTCCCCCCACTGTGACTCATTCGCCCAAAGTGCGAGTCAGTGCCGTAACGGCATGTACTGTATGTGAGTGTTTCATGTGTGTGACGAATGATGGTGTGTTTCTTTTTTGTGTGTTTGCATGTGAGATTTTACTATGGGTTCATGTGGCAGAGCAACAACACCAGGATCATATCAGGACACCACTAACACACAGATGAGGCAGGGGCACGAAAGCTTCAGGCTGCTTTAAATTAGAGGGGAGGAAAGATGGCGGTGAGGACCACAGGGGGAGGCACCGGGGAGTGACGAGACTGAGCGGGTAGAGAGGGGCGGTGGTGCAGCATCCGGAAGAGTCTGTATTAGTTGATTTTGGTTCCGTAAAGTCACAAAAAAATATTGTTGAACATCTGGAGTCTGGTACAGCGAGGCAAAGGGGGAGGCGAGGGGCAGGTGGAGAGCACGGGAGGGCCTGAAGATGACTAGTATCCCTGGAAGGGAGGAAAGAAGAAAAACATAAAAACACAAATATCAACAGTGGAAGACATTTTTTATTTGTTTAACAGTAGAAAACATCAAGCATATGTTAAAGATCATAAAGCAGTATTCCTCTTTTTGCTACTTAAAATTTCCATACATTCATATTTTAGATGATTAGATTTAGAGTTTTGCATTCATAGTTAAACATGAAACCAGCGGCTTCAAGCATTTTTCTGCTTGTGACTTCTTACTTTAAAAAGGCAGCCAGAAATCCTCATCATATCTGTGCAATCGCTGATTTGTTCACAGCATCATCAATCAACTTCCTTTTAAGATGGTTTCAGTGTTTTGCTGTCATTATAAACGTGCGAGCTTCTCTTTTTCTGCTAATCCGGTTTGTGTTTATTTAAGCCTTGGATTCTGGAGACTGGTACACAGATTCTTTAGGTTAGATTTTATTATTGTCTAAATTATGGTTTTACTCAATTTACAAATGCATTTTGCTTGGATGTTTGATCTTTACTAAATTACTAAACGGACGTACAGTAGCAGCTTGATCCTTGATAGTATAGGATATGCAACGTGATACTGAAACTTACTCTAGTGTATTTAAAATGAGAATGGATTCCTACTGATCTGCCTATCCATGCATTTTAAGAACTGAAAATACATTTTAAAATAATTTTATGTGTCTTAAAGCCTGGAGATGTGTACAGTAAAAACCTGTATAAACTAATTCATCTGTTAGTTGTACAGTTTTGTTTTGAAATCTCGAAGTCTGAAATCTGCTTTGTCTAACTTCTATAGCTCATCTCTTCTCAACACTAGCA